CCTTGGGCCCGGGTGGGGGGGCAGCGCCTGCCAGCCGGCGGGCTGTTCCCAATCCCGGGGGAGCGACCCCAGTCGGGCTGCATCCATGGCTCAGGCGGATGCGAGGTTTTCGGATGTTTTTACAGGCGCTATTAATACACATAATATTTCCGTGCTATTCTGAAGATTTATTTGAGATATAAAGTAACTGCTGGGACTCGAAGGCACAATGGGAACTACAGTGGAGCTCGCAGAGGCAGAGACAGATGAGGCCTGGCTCCTGGAGGGGGAGTCCCTGACTTCCTCCACCAGCCCTCCACCAGCCCTGCACATAAATCACGACCCTGGATATTTTTATACCAATAATTTTTAAAATAAATGACCCAAGCAGTGTTTCCTGGGTGATCCTCCCCTCCCAGTTCAGAGGTTATTTAATAAACCGCAGAGCGGGTAGTGATGGGGGCTCCCGGGTGCAGTGGGTTTGATTTAGTGACAGCACAGAGTGTGCCCTACTGAGCCTGGGTGAGGAGTCTGTGCCCTGCAATCAGTGCCACCGCAGCCCAGAGCTGCTAACTTTAGCACGGGAAGTCCTCTTTTTCTTCTTTCTCCTCCTCCCCACTGGTTTTTGGAGAAACTTGTTCTGACGTGTACTTCTTAAATAGCCGGATATGGCTTCTTTCTCAAAGTGACACTGTATAGACTCCAAATTAAAGCCCCAAGAGAAAGAGAGGCTGTCCTGCTGTCCTAAGCAGGATACTCGGGCCCAAGGCAAACCATCCCATCCACTCTGGAACCAGCAGGGACAGCCCCATGCTCACCATGCGTGGACTCTGGCCAATCCCACGCTAAGAGGCTTGACGCACTTATGTGCACCGAGACTAGAGTCAGGGTGCCTGCATCCAGCTCCTGTGAGGTTCTTGGCGCTCTCGATCCACCCCACACAGAACCCCTCAGGGATAAAGCTGTGACATCATATCAGGGAGCGTTTCTGAGCCAGAGAGCTTGCTGCACAGGCCCAAGCACTGGTTTTTGAAGTCCAAAGATTGGGACTCAGGCCACGTCTAGGTTATGGGGACCCAGAGCCTTCCTCTTGGAGGGCCTAACTGGACAGATCCAAGTGGTCCTCTTGGCCAGGTGGTCCCCAGCCTTCCCTCCTGAAGAGCAGACCCTTGGGCTCCTTCCTCTGCATTTGGCTGGGCGGTGGACTAGTGGGCTGGCCTCTGGCCTCTTCCCCTGCCCTGAGCATCACCACTGTCCAGAGTAGGGTGCTAGCAGATGCAAGGGCCAGGACTCTGCAGCTCTTTTGTGATTAAGGCCTGAGGCTTTCACTGACATTTGCAAGTTAATGGGAAGAAAGCCACAGAAATGCAGGACAGAGGCCTGGGAGGGGAAGGTTACTATGTCCCAATTTGGATGTCAAAGCACTGAGCGGTTTCCATGATGGCCTGTGGATCTCAGAGCTGAGTTCTGGGCCCGAAACCCAGTTCTGCTGTCTGCAGCTTTGTGACTCCCTTGCTTACCCATTCAGTTCCTTACTGTAAAGCCTAGAGGTTGTTTGTTGTGAAGATAACTTGATTCCATAGCTTTTCTTCTGTGCCTGGCTCTGTTCTGTGCACCATTGAGGACTGTGATCATCCCCGTCATTGTTACCATCCTCCTCCTCATCCCTGAGAGCACCACCCATACAGTCTAGATGTGACATCCTTTTGCTGTCTGACCTAGCACAGACCTCATCTCCACTCCCTGCAGCACGTTGGAGCCCACAGTCTTTGGGAGCAACAGTTTGTTGGAAGCCCCCTCTGTGCTGCCTTCTTCAGCAGCTCTCTTGTTACTAATTAGTTGCTTATCCACAAGGTCATCTGCACCTCCCACAGGGCAGGGTCTGCAGCATCCCCCACTGGGGCAAGTGTATCTCCCCAGCTCTTTTCTCATCCCTCAAATACTAGCCTAACCGCCCCACCTCCCCTCTCTATGGAATCACTAAAGCGCACAGAGTGAGGAGGAGGAGGGAAGAGGAATGCAGCCTGCTCATCAGGTCAGTGTGCAGGAACAGCAGGGCCCTGGCCTGCATCTGCCTTGCCATCCTCCTCCATTTGTGCAAGAGGAAACTGAGGCACAGATCTCCTTGAGGTCACACTGCTGCTAATGGTCCAAACAGGATTTGAACTCCAGGCAAACTGCTATGTATTTGTCCCTGTGCTATTTTCCCCCTCTGGGCAATGGCAAGAGCCATCCCTCCCGAAACTCACCTGGCTTCAACAAAGAGCAATCCGAGCACCCACAGTGGCCTGACGCTGTGTTCACTGAGCTGGGCACACAGTGAAGGACAGAGGACACCAAGCTCTAGGGACCATGCTGATAAACATCTAGCTGTTGGCTGGTGGTGTCCCAAGGTAACAGGAAAGTAGAGCAAGAGAGGAGGAAAGGAGGCTGTGGGGGAAGCTCTCATGGAGCAGAGGCCTGGGTTGTGCACCAGAAAGAGCAGGGAGGAGAGTGCCAGGCAGAGGGAACAGAGTGCAGTCTTGTGGTACCTGGAGCTCCAGGAGCAAGCAGTGAGTTCAAGGGCCAGCAGGAGAGTGAGGGAGAGCAGCAGGGGGAGGCAGGGAGAGCCAGAGGGGATGCTGGGTGAGGGGTGGTGCGCTGGCCTTCTGGAACTTCTCTGACCAGAGGGATAGGGCCCCAAGGGCCTGGAGCCAGTGAGGGACCTGCTGGACTGGTTTGCATGGGGTTCCTGGCTGTTCTGAAGAGAACAGATTCACTCCCTACTCAAGTTGTGACACGCTGGGGTCACAGGTGAGGGGACAGTGCAGGTGAGAAGCTGGAATTGCTGACACCCAGAAATGGAGTCTGAAAGTAGGAGGGGAGTGGATGGCCCCAAGGTTTGGGAATGGAAATGAAGGAGGAAAGGTCCCTGAGGAGAGGAAGTCGGGGGAGAGGTCAGAGTTGTTTTTTGACTTTCATTAATTATGGTCAGATATATGACCTAACATTTTCATCATTTTAGCGTGAGATTCAGTGGCTTTCATGACACTCCCAGTGTCGTACAATCACCACCATAGTCTATTTCCAAAACTTTTTCATCACCCCGGATAGAAATTCAGTGCCACTCAATGTTGACCCGCATTTCCCTGCCCCCAGCCTGCCCCAGGGAGCTCAGCCACTTCTCCCTGCATCAGCTTGAGAATTTGAGATTCCCACCTACCTGTGTGGCACATTTCACTTACCATGCTTTCCAGCTTGCTCCACATTGTGTGGATATCAGCCCTTTACTCGTTTGATGGCTGAGTAATATCCCCTTGTATATAAATACTGCATTTTATTTACCTGTCCATCCATCAATGGACACTTTGGGTATTTTCACCTTTGGCCATTTTTGAATAATACTACACTAAAATTTACGGAGTAGCATTGGTGTGAGACCCTGTCTTCAGTTCTTTCGGGCACATACCTAGAAGTGAAGTTGCTGGGTTATAGTCATTCTATCTTTAACTTTTTAAGGACCCGCCAAAATGATTTCCACTGTGGCTCACCTGTTATGTTCCCATTAGCAGGGCACAAGGGTTCTAACTTCGCATCCTCATCAATATTTGTTATTTGTCTCTTTTAAAATTATAGCCACTCTACCAGATATTACGTAGCATCTCATTGTGGTTTTATTTTGCATTTGCCTAATCACTAATTTACATAGACCTGTTGGTCTTCTCCAAGGAAATATTTGGGCAGTGCTCATTTTTAATTGAGTTTTTGTCCTTTTGTTGTGGAGTTGTAGTCCTTTATGTAGATTAAACAGGAAGCCCTTCCCAGTTGTATAAAATGCAAATATTTTCTTCCATTCTTAGGTTGTCTTTTCACCTTCTTGATGAGGTCCTTTGATACGCCAAAGAAATTAATTTTCACGATGTGTGATTCACTTTCTATTTTGTTGCTGGCGCCTTTGGTGTCAGTTCTGAGAATCCATTGCCAAATCCAAGGTCGTGAAGATTTATCCCTGTGTTCATCTAAAAGTTTTGCGGTTTCAGTTCTTATATTTAGGTCATTGATCCATTCTGAGTTAGTTTTTATATAAGGAGTGAGGAGGGGAAGGAGCTTCACTCTTTTTTATTTTGTTTGTGGAGTATGGCAGGGACTTGGCTTCCTCTTTTGCATGTGGATACCCAGTTGTCCCAGCACTGTTGGTCAGGGAGGCCATTCTTTAAAGGTCTGCTTTTGAGCATATTAATAACATGACAAGCTAAGAGGCTGACCCCTGAACTGCAGCAGCCATCAGAGCGACATGGCATGGCGTAGTCTAACCTGGGGCGCGCGGATGCTCGGTGCACATCCCAGGGGGACAGATTCGGAGCTGACCGCAAGGTCAGGGACAGCTTGCCCCCTGCAGCATGTGGAAGCTGAATGGTGGCGTCCTGATGACCCCCTGCAATGCCACCTGCAATGACAGGTGAGCACCAGTTGTGGTCAGAACCTGATGCCCTGTGGAAATGGCCCCATATGAATTTCTCTTCTTTGCCATGGCATAAGTCATTGAGAAAATGTCTTCCAGCTTTGCAGCCGGAGGCATAATGCGATGCTAATGAAGCAGATATAGAGGCAGCTCCTCGTTCCCAGGCATCACCTCACTACCAGGAGCAGGAACACAGTAGGGCCGCAGTCCTTGCTGCCTGTGAGTTCACGATCTGTGTGATCTACATTGTCACGTACATGGTGGAAGGCCTCTCATTCTGGGAAATGATCCCTGGGTGACAAGTTTGGGTCCTTCGCATAGCCCAGCCCCGCTCCTCTGTGCTGCTGCTCAGGGGCTGGGTATGAGCTCCCACCTCCTCCAGAGCAGCAAGTTGGGTCTCGGTTAATTGTATCCACCACATCTGCCTCCCTGGGTGGGCTTGGCCCACTGAGTGGCAAGAACTGTGTCTCACTAATGTCTTTAGCCCTAGCTCGGCAGGGCTCAATGAAAGTCAGATGGGGACAGACGAAGGGACAGACAGGCAGTAGCTGACCCTCGTTGCCTGTTCCCTTCTGTTTCCAGCAGTGTTGAGTGGGCAGACCTTTGCTTAAATCATTTCCTTTAATACTCACTTGCTAAGTTGGTCCTATTAGCAGCACCTTTTGACAAACATGGAAACTGAGGCACAGAGAGAGCAAGGGATGTGCCCAAGCGTACACTGTGAGTCCATCCAGAAGGACCTGCTGTCCAGGCCAGGAAGACCCTGGGACTTGGGCTCTACTCCTGGCTCCCTGCCAGGCACTGAAGCTCAGCTGCTGCCCCCCAGCTGTCCCAGGAGAAAGTGGTTCTCTCTGATTGCCTGGATGCTGCTGGAAGCCATAGACAAGAGGCTGGTGTGGGTTGTATGAGCTACATCTGTGTCCCACGCCTGTCTCTGCCTGGCACTGCTCATTACTCTGCTTTGCT